TCCTCAAAAAATTAAAAATGGAACTGCCATTTGACCCAGTGATCCCACTTCCAGGAATATATCCTAAGAAACCCAAAGCACCAATCAGAAAGAATGTATGCATCCCTATGTTCATAGCAGCACAGTTTACAATAGCTAAGATCTGGAAACAGCCCACGTGCCACCAGTAGACAAGTGGATAAAAAAGCCCATTTATGCCATGGACTACTATGCAGCAATAAAAAAGAAGAATGCCTTACCTTTTGAGACAGCATGCAGGGTCCTGGAGAGTATTATGCTACGTGAAATAAGTCAGTCAGAGAAAACAAGTATCACATGATTATACTCGTATGTGGAATCTAAGTAACAAAATAAACCAATGAGTGGAGTGGATCCAAAGACATGGAAGCATGGACGAGTGCAGAATCTCAGAGGGAAGTAGGGGGAGGGGGGAGAGAATAAACCGAAGATCTTGTATGCATACATGCATGTACTCATGGACACAAATAATAAGGTGCTGAAGGCCTTGGGGAGGGGCGGGGAGGGTGGGAGGCAGTCAATGGGGGAAGTAAGAGAAGAAAAAAACCCAGGGAACTTGACTGCCAGTGTTACTTTCATTTATTTCCATGTGCGTGTTACTTTCATTTATTTCCATGTGTGTATTTCCAAAGGACAATGGCAGACTGGTACTAAAACCCAACCAGTCACCTGCAGTATCATTACTGACCAAAATGAGAATTTCCGGGTTGAGCTGTTAGGGTTGGGCCTTGTTCTTATGCCCATGTTCCGCTGGTGTACCCTGCACTGAAAAACAGACCGGAAGAAACCAGGCACAGATGTCTCCCTCTTCTCATGCTTTAATCCCATACCCTGTGCTCCACGTACGGAGGACAGTCTCCCCAGTCCTTGCCATTCCCACAATCAAAGCAGGTGAGGTTCATAGTTATTCAACCTCATTTCCACAGAACCTTTATCAGGCAAGAGAGACCCTTGGGCCATGAGATACTATGACTCAGTTCTTAATTACATGAAAATGAAACCACAGAGAAGCAGACAATGCAAACACGTGAAAGCCATTTACTTTTAGTAAATTCTTCAGGGTCCCAGGTGCTGGGGTTCCTTATGTTCCCTGATACCACAGAACCAGGGTAGGGATGATGGGGTTAGGTGTCAGGAGGATAGTCTTGATAGCCTTGGCCAGCAGCAACAGCTTTTTCTTAATTGTTCCACGATCTGATCTCAGATTTCCAGTTTTATGTAAGTGATGTGACCCAGTGCCTTTGTAAGGTGACACTGTTCCAAAAGGCCCTCCCAAACCCGTGAAGAGGGTGGGGTGGGTGGGCAGGCTTGTACCTATGTGGGAATGTAAATGTTTTCATTATGACTTAATTATGCTTTGCAAATCCCTTGGCACCCAAATGCCTCATCCCACTTATAGTAGAAAAAGTGCTGGGGACAAAACCAAGAAATTGGTCGAACAGTAGGAAGGCGAACAGCATGAGAACGCTAAAAGGAGGGGAAGAAAAACCCACAAGGAAAGAGGCTTCGGACAAGGTCCTCCTTTTCAGCAGTGTCTGGCACTGGCATCACTTTGTCAATGGGAATGGAGCACCCTGACAAGGTCCACGTGAAGCAGTTTTGAGGTTTTCACCCATCAGACACTTCTCCAATCTCTCCCCGGTATCATGGACAGTGCCCGGCGAGGAAGTGATCTGTGAGATGTGTAGTTATCCTGTGAATGGTTAGCAAAGCAATCTGGATGCAAATATCTGGCCATGAGTTCAGGGCTGTGTGCTTTAAGATCTGAGCCCTTACCAAACCTAAGGAATTGTCCTGGGCAACTTTAACTTGAGGCTGCTTGGTCTTTAGGGTATCTAACAGCCTATTTCTGGGAAAATATAATAACCACAACTCGTAAGACTTCTAATTCTCCTACCTCGTACTGATGGCGAAGAGGTAGGGACACTCCAGTCAAGAAGCCTCAACTCAGGTTGTACTTTGGGCAAAACAGCTCCTTAAGGAGAAGTTGAGAGGAGCGTTTACCTAACTGTGGGAAGGTTATGTCCATCTAGGCAAGTCAGGGAGACTCCCTGGAAAAGGTTTCCCCAGGATGACCAGAGGGCTTCTCGCCTACCCCGGGGTCAGGGCTGAATGCAGACCTCCTATCATGGGGTCCCAGCTGGGAGGTGTCCCTGTGGCTGAAGCTCCGCCCACACTGGCCACAGAGATAGAGCTGCTCAGTATCATGTGCCTTCCGGTGTGTCAGGTACTGCCTGTGGTCGCTGAAGTACTCTCCACACTCTCCACACATGTAGGGCTTGTCTCCATGCTGGATTCTTTGGTGTGTTGTTAGCACGGATTTCTGGCTGAAGTTTTTGCCACAAATAGTACAAAAGAACGGTTTTTCTCCGGTATGTGTCCTATGATGCCTGACAAGATCTGAAGTCCAGCGGAAGTGCTTTCCACACTCATCACATCGATAGGGCTTCTCAACAGGTGTTTTCTCAGCTGGGACCAGAGGGGAGGTCTCATTCAAATTCTTCTGGTTTAGGGGGAATTTGTAAGAAGTGCCGAGTACGTGAACCTTTTGATGCCTGGCGAGATGTGAGCTCCGCGTGTAACTTTTGCCACACTCCATACATTTATAGGGTTTTTCTCCTGTGTGAGTTCTCAGGTGTCTAACAAGGTGGGAGTTACACGTGAAATTTTTTCCACATATAGGACAGCCATGAGGTTTCCCTAACAGGGAGTGGATAGGTATGGTTTCCTGAAGATTTATTGAACTATTAATTTGAGAAATATTTGTATCAAATCTTTCATCAAGTCTACCTGGGTCATCCTCAAAGACTATTTTCCAATCTGGAGTCTGGTGGATTTCTGGATCTCCTAAAACAGATGTGTGTAGAGTCTCCAAATTCAGATCTTCTTGCTCAAGAAACTCTTCCTCATCTTCACTCCTATCTCCTGAAGAGATGGTGAGAGGAGAAAATTATAGAGGTAATGATGCCTTCTACACAATGGGTGGTGGGGGAGGGGGTATTTTAAAACAGAGTTCTGGAAGGGCCAGACCACAGTGAGAAGCCCATATTTCATAACTGTAGAGATAGGGAAAAAGGAAATCGTCACATGAATACCTGTCATATGCCAGGCACTTTCTTGTTATCTTAAGCTATGAATAGCCTTCATTTGGACAAATATTATAATCCTCATTTCACAAATGTGGAGGCTGAGGATCAAGTTTACGTAAACTGCTTAATAAATGGTTTAGCCACAATTCCAAAAGTCCTGACCCGCCCCGTTTTGTATTACATATACCTCAAATGAATGATGGGAGGGGTAAGAGGAGGAAAATGATAGAAGGATTTGACGTTTAGAGGGAGACTGTAGTAATGCCTGACATACTGGAAGAACCAATGAGGGCGATACCTCAGAGAGAGAGAGAGGAGCACCGACTAAAGGAACTGCCAGCTCCTTTGTGAATCCTTTGGTCTTTCCTCACCTGTGTAGGTAAAACTCAGGATGTCTGGCTCTTGAGACTCTGTAATATCTGGAACCAAAGGGTCTTCTTCTATAATGTGGGTGATCTCATCTAATCTGGGGATTGGAAATGCTGTTCAAGAGGAGAAATAGGACATTATGATTGGTTAAACAATTCCCTGTGTAAAAGCAGATCAGCCAAGTCAGTCATTCAAATCTTTGGTCTTTTTAGCTTGAGTACCTCCAACTAAATACTGCATACTTTTTGTCTTTTATCTATAACTCAGTAATTACACACTATAAATACTACCCGTTTCCCATATTTAAATAAGGAGATTATCTCCAACTTTTATTTCAAAACTCATGCTTACCTCAAATATATTAAAGTGATCTCTCTCTAGATATACATATAAAAGCCTAATATGCAAATTGTCCCCTCGGGAGTTCAACTGGTAGTTCAATTGCTCGCTATGATGTGTGCTGACCACCAGCGGGTGACGTGGAATGAAGGCCCCAGCCAACAGCCGGGGAAAGAAGACCATGGCCAGCAACTGGAAGGAAGGCCTTGATTGGCCCTCCATTGCCGGCCAGGTCTAGGGACCCTGCCTGTGCACAAATTTCGTGCACCGGGCCTCTAGTAACATTATAACTTTACTTTCTTATTAGAAGTTTTCAACCATTTTCTAAGCATTTCTCTTCCCTTTAACAAAGAAGGATATCATTTTACTCAGCTAACCCTAACCCTTCAATCTCATTGGTGGGGAAGGCATAAGAGAGGTCTAGAGCATACAGGCTAAGCTCTAAGCCCCCATAATTTCCAACAGGAGAAAGATCTCTGTGTTCACAACACTGTAGAAACACTTGAACTTCCTTACACAAGGAGACCACAATTCCACAGTCTTCTTCCAAGACATATTCTCCATAGAACTCTTTCTGTGTTGGATCCAGATCATTCCACTGCTCCTGGGAGAAGCATACAGCCACATCCTTGAACGCTACCAATCCCTGAAACAACAGCAGGATTCAATTAAAATGCGAAGCCTCATGGAGCCTCCCATTCTGTTCCTGGAAGGAAGGTCTCTGGAATAGGCAGAATCCACCCAGCAGACAGAAGGGACTCCAATGGGATACTTGGCTCCCTCAGGAAACCTGTGTTTCACCATGTCACTGCTTCCCTACTGGCACGTTCACACTGGCCTGCTACCGCTACCTCGTCTTACTTCCTTTCAGAAGAACTATGTTCTTCCTCTTGAGAATATTGTTTAATTACAAAAAAAAGGTCTTAAAAGCCATCATTCAATTCCCTAGTTGATGCTTTAATGCTACTGACATTTGTGTAAAAAGTCATCCTTATCTAGGAAGTTTTCCAACTGACCTTCTCTAATCACTCTTATCACTTACAAAGTCTAGACAGCATAAACAGGACTTTTTTCTTCAGCTCCATTAGTCTAAAAGCACAGATAAATTCTATTCCTTTGCCCCCCAGCCACATAGCTGCGCTTCTGGGCTCTGCCTAAGGTCAGTCTTCATAATGCTGTGGCCTGACTGAATGCAGCCCTTGCAAGAGTACACCATGAAAGTTCAGAAGTCACTTCTGCAGCAGTCAGTCATCCTTACCAATGACAGTCAAGTTTATTCCTAAAACCAAAACAAACCCCCATTCAACAACGTCAAAGTTGCAGTGGAGAGTTACAAAATTATCCCATTCTGTTAGTCCCCCTGGTCAGTGGCAAATAAAGGGGTTTTGGAGCCTGCAGATCCAACTGAGACTACTATAATTTATCTCATTAGATGCAACTCCCTTTCCCCAGCCCCCACAAGTGAAGAACAGAATTTAAACTGACAAAAGAAGAGTGGAAACTGGTGTCCTGTCTGACCTGTTGAGTATATGGCTCTTCTAATTCTCTATGGAATAGAGGGACATGAGGGTGCACCTGTGACAGAGCAGTAAGAAGGGCGACCATCTCTGAGTTTCCAGTGTTCCTCTCCTCAGGAAGGTCTGGGTCCTGGGGCACTGGAACCTCTATGAAGAAAAGAGGGCAGAGGTCAGCAATAGGCAATGCACCCCTGAAACTAACAAAGAGCTGAGCAACCCCCATCATCTTTGGGAATCAGGGGCAGCTCCAATAACCCAAACACAATCTACAACACTAACGGATGCTAAGGGAATGACCAAGAGCACTGCTCTCTAAGCTCAGCCCTAGTCACGGGGACTCTAGCTAGTACCCTCTCCTCTCAACACCCTGTCCTGTGAGTTACTCCTATTCCAATTTCCCCAGCCTCGCCGGTACAGAAGTCCACCCCACCCTCCAGCCCCACACTCTGCTGGGGCTTCCCACCGCTCTCGTGCAAGGGCTGCAGCTCCAGTTCATGGCACAGGCTCTGCTCTGCTGGCTCCCCCGGATCTGGGCTCAGTGTGATCTCCGCATGGGGCTCCTCTGGGGTCAGGGTCTGCGCAGGATCCTGCAGCTCACTAGGTGACTCAGGCTCTGCTCCTGGGTGCACTGGCTCCTCTGACAGGACTTCCTGGCCATGAACATGGGCAGTCACCTGGGAATAATTCCAACTTCCAGTCACCATGGAATCAGGAGGAAAGTCTTGGTTGTCATCAGGGCTCATTTTAGGAGAAGCTGCCAATAGAAAAAAACTCCCAGAGGGACCCAGATGAAGAGGGGAACCCCCAGTTCCATTGGGGCACGCAAGGAGCTGTTATCCTCGCCAGATCAAAGCAGGAACGATCAGACACTGCACTGCTTTCTCGCCTCCCTCAACCGTGTCCCTACCCACCAGGACCTCAGTCCTGGCCTTCCCGTCGCTACCTGTCCCACCCGCAGCAACCCTCAGTGTTTGCTTCCATGTGCTGTTGACCTGGGCAGGAATCTGACACTGAGGGTTTATGGGAACCTTTGAGGAAGTAACAAAATCTTCCTCCCCAGAAATTGGAGATTCAACATTTAAGAAGGGAAAACGAACGCCACGTGACCCTGGGGTGATGAAGGCCCTTAAGGTAGTCCCTAGGTGGGTGTTTCAAAAACCAGAAAGTCACACTCACACACACAGACACCGCCTCTGCCCCATGGGGCTTATGGATCGAGGCGCAACCCAAGGGCAGAGCCAATGAAATTTAAACGTGATTTAAAGGTCAGCCCTACTCCCAAATCCGTCCTTCCAGCAAATGGTCCCCCTCCACATCACACAGGTCAGGACTCCCCCTCCTCACCCACCGCCTTGGTGTCCTGGGTTGGTTTTGCAAACCCTCCACCAGTGTCACCGCCTCCTCGCCACTCTCTGGCCGCTGGCCCCGCACCCAGCTCTGCAGCTCTCCGGGCAGCACGGTAAGGAACTGTTCCAGCACGAGCAGCTCTAGGATCTGCTCCTTTGTGCGCCTCTCTGGCCTCAGCCACTGACGGCAAAGTTCTCGGAGTCGAATGAGAGCTTCCCGAGGGCTTGCTGCCTCCTGGTAGCGGAAGCGCCGGAAGTTCTGGTGTGAGGTCTCAAGCACGGGGTCGTCCCTCTGCAAGACAGATTCTGGCCTACAGGTGAAATCATCTTCCAATTTCACCAGTAGAATCCCCTCTTCTTCCCAAAGATCCTGGTCCTCTGGTTCCAAGGCTGTAGCCATTTTCTGGCTCTGGGCTGGTCTCACACCATCTAGAGCTCACACTGCCATTACCCCCCAGTCTCAGCCTGGGCACCTCGAGGAGTTTCTCCCAAGGGACCTGGGGTAGAGAAGTAGAGACAAACAGTGTAAGCACAGAATTATGCACAGCGATAGCAGTTCTGAGTTTAATCATAATCTTGCACATATAACACTTCCTCAAGCTATTAAGTCCCCTCTCCCTGAATCTGCATAACCCATAAACAAATCGAGTTGGACCGGATGACGTATGTTGAACACGTAAGTTCCCCACCTCTTTTCCTGGGCAGGGTTCACACCCCACAGAAAAACACTGCATTTCTACTTCACGAGACTTGTGAACCTAAAAGCTACGTGGCTTGCAGCAAGGACACTCAGAATTACCCGCTAAAAACCGTGGTACTGACCAAGGTGTGTCCTGTACAAACACATTTACATATATACTAGAATGTATATTCTCAGAAGAGACACATCGACAGGACTGAAATAGAGAGAGAAGGTCTTATCAAAGTTCATTCTGAACGGAATCATACCCATTATTCATTTCTTCTGTAAAATGGAAACTCTCAGAGATTTGAGGGGAGGATCCGGTGAGTTAACAGCGAAGAAAGCCACGTATAGTGGCTGGCACACAGGCCCCCCCAAAAGCAACTTTTCTCTTGTAAGACATCGTTAGTTGGAAGACCTACAGGCACTCACACCCAAGCGTTTAAAACGGAGTTCACGCATTGGTCTTACTCCCACCCCTCCCTCTTCCTGGAATCCTGTCTAGGCTGGATCACCCTAGTTAAGATTAAACTTTGTGATCCCTGGGTTTAATGCTGATTCTTCCCATTGCTTACAGCTCATTTAACTGATTCTGCCTCCTACCCTCTGAACCTGTTTCCTCCTCTTCTTTCCCAGAGACGGCTGTAGTTCGGGCCCTCACCTCTGGCCTGCACCACTGCCGTAACCTAACTGGGTGCCGGCCGCACTCAACTGGGAGCAAAGGGCAACAGAATGATCCCGAAGCTTTTGCAAAACAGTATCAAACGTCATTTTTCTGGATATTCTGATTCAGTCAATCTAGGCATCTGTATCTTTAGAAGAGCTAGGCGAGGTTTGGATGTGCATCTTGGTTGAAACACCAAGGGTGCGAGGGTGCGTAAGGTTAAGAATGAGAGCCCTGGAGTAGGCTTCCAGGGTGTGAATCCTGGCTCTACTGTTCCCTCGGTATGAGGCCGCGGGCAAGTCCTTATCCTCCTTATGCCTGTCCCCCTATTCACGGAATAGAGGTCACAATGGTATTCATCTAATAGGTACTATGAGGATTAAATGTATTAGTACCTGTGAAGTACTTAGAAGAGTGATGGCATGCCAAAGTTAACTTTCTAAAAAATATTTCTAAGTTTTAGTTCAAACTGCATCACTCAACATTTAAAAAATAATTTCTTCCTTGGCCAGGTGGCTCAGTTGGTTGGAATGTCATCCTGTGCAGTTGCAGGTTCGATTCCTGGTCAGGGTGCGTGTGGGAGGGAACCCATCGATGTTTCTCTTACAGTGATGTTTCTCTCTCAAATCAATAAAAAACCCACATATCCTCAGATGAGAATAATAATGATGATGATGATGGTAATTTCTTATTAAGATCAGTTCCAAAGTCCTTAGCATATGAAGCTCTTCACAATCAGCCCTCAATCTATTTTTACGCTTCACATCCTACCCTTCCCTCTGCCTTAGCTGGTTATAACAAACGCACTGCTCATCTCCCTACAACGGGGTGTCTTTCCAGGCCTCCAGGCCTGCGTGAAGGCAGTTCCTTCTGCATGGAATACCCATTCCTCTCCTACCCCCACCCCACTCTCAAATCAATTCCCACTTCTTCACAGGTCCACTCCTTCACAGGTCCTTCTTCTCCATCCCCATGACCTGCAGGGTAGGTCCTTATCAGTTCTCATCTGGATTATCGAAACTGCCTCCAGATGTGAGCTACCTGCCTCCAGGCCTACCTTCAAGTTACCAGGCACAAGAGTGAGTACTCTTGGCAAATCTGGTCCCTATTTAAGACCCTCAATCAATCCTGGCTTGTAAGTGAAATACAGACTTAGTTCCAAGTATCATATTTTAGGATGGACCTTCATTTTATTTCCTTTGCCCTCCTCTCCAATCCTTTCAAACACATACACACGTGTGTGCATGCAAAGCACACTAAAGTCCTAAATTCTTTGGTTTTTGAACATGCTGTTCCTTCTGAGTCTTTGTCCTCCATTAGGGTAGACTTTATCTTTCAAGACACAGCTCAGGCTTCATGTCCTCTGAGATGATTGCTTTGATCCCATTCCCCCCACCCTTAGACATGGTTAGAAATCACTGTGCCTCCATAGCAACCTGCGCACATCTCTATCACAGTATCGGTCATATCAAATAGCCATTTTTTAAAATATATTTTATTGACTTTTTACAGAGAGGAAGGGAGGATAGAGAGTTAGAAACATCAATGAGAGAGAAACATCGATCAGTTGCCTCCTGCACACCTCCTACTGGGGATGTGCCCGCAACCAAGGTACATGCCCTTGACCGG